AACTTCATCATTGTTTGTAGTCAGCCATTTTCTGTATAGTTGCTTTTTTTCTCCAATTATTCTTTTTGTTGATTAATTTATTTCATATTAGTGCTGTTTATTTGTTATATGTTCTTTCTCTCCTAGGGTTTCGAATGCTGCTTGTTTTATACTCGCCTTTATATGTTTGAATATTTCTTCGATGTTGCTGTATCTAAATTCTATTAATTTTTGGTTTAGACGTTGTTGGTATAGATCTCTTATTGACTGTTCTTGGAGTAGTTTTATTTGTATTGTTTTTGTCTTATAGTGTAAAGAATACTAAAATAAAATGTAATGTAAAAGGAAAACGATTAATTTTTTGGTTCTAGTGGATAATAGGTTATTTATACTGCCCTTTTTTCTTCAAATATTCAAAAAATTAATCTTTTACGAGTTGTAATTTCTTAGTTTACATATAAATGACTTCTTGTACTTCTCATTTTAAACGTCTTTTCATGGACTGTAAAAAACGTTTGTGTCATTACCTCAGAAAAATTAACCCCTTTACAATTCTTCTTCATGTGCCTTGTCCGTTCCGGACGTTGGCAATCAACATGGCTATTCTGACTTTGTTTACGGCAGATCTGAATAGTTCAGCAGATGACAATCCGAACCATTGCCGCAAGTTTTGGAGCCACGAGTGTCTTCTCCTCCCTGGACCTCTTCTGCTATCTATTTTCCCTTGAACGATCAGCTGTAGTACTCTATATTTATTATGTCTCATAACGTGACCCAAGTATTCTAACTTTCTTTTCTTTATACTTATTCCTACCTCTCTCTTTTTACCTATCCGACGTAGTACCTCTTCGTTGGTCACGTGCTCAGTCCAGGATATACGTAATATACGCCGGTAAGCCCACATTTCGAAGGCCTCTACTTTTTTCATCAATGTTGCGGTCATTGTCCACGCCTCGATTACATATAACAAAACCGGGAGTACATAACATATCAGAAGTCGAATTTTGAGAGGTAGCGTGAGGCTTTTAGAGGTGAAAATTTGCTTCATGCTAGTGAACGATGCTCTTACCTTTTCTACTCTTATACGTATTTCCTTCGCTTGATCTCAATTTGAGTTAACTGTTGTTCCCAAGTAGATGTACGAATCCACGTGTTCAATTCTTTCATTGTCTAATATCAGTTGCTGTGATGGTTGTTGGGTTTTGCTTACTAACATCCATTTGGTTTTTGTGATATTTAGACTAAGTCCGTATTGTGCACTTGTTTTTTGTATCTTACTCATTAGGCAACCCAGTTCCTCCATGCCCAGTTCCTCCTTTACAATTACATTACCTTTTAATTACAATTTACTGTTGAATACATTGATCCAAATATTCGCAAAAAAGTCCCCTTTCTCCGACCATATCTCACTTTGTATTGTATCTAAAATATCTTGGAAAAAATAAATCTCATCATTCTTTTATAAGCTTAATTTTTGTTTTACATACTTTTTAGATCAAAGGCATAATTTTTGAGTTATTTATGAAAAACCGTTAAAATCTTGACTTTTTTAATGAAAATTTACTGTTTTCAACCATAAACACCTTAAACATTTTTAGCATTCTAAAAAATTCTGTACAACAAAAGTTGTTTAGAGAGTTTAATCCTCTATCAATTTCCGTAATTATTTTGAGCAAAAATTTCCACCCTGAGTAGGGGTGGCAACCACCCCTGGGGAAAAAGCGCACAATCGGCGTTATATAACTTTTCCATCAACTGACCAAATTTCAAGTAAATCGGTTCAGTCCAACAAAATTGGAAGGCGAATAGCTCGATTGATTGAAGTAATGACCAGCCTCTGGACTTGCAGCATATGCAAATGAATGGATGAAGAAATAGGACTCTTCGACTCTTAAAACGACCAAAAAAACAATAACGGCATCGCGAATCGACAATCTTTTGAACTGTTCTTAACTTAGGTGTTGAATACTTGCTTAGTAGTACTTGAGTAGTACAAATGCAGGAACTAGTCAAGAAAATATGGAATAAATGGTATGATTATTTCACGTGGCATAGTCATCTTGTCCTTAGCTTACAAAATCTTTACATCATTTTCGGTTTTCGGCATGGAAGGTGGACAATAGGCAGCTCTTTACCGTAAAAAAATTTAAATTAATTTTGTGAACATTGCATTGACCTCTGAACATGCCTATATTTAAAGCAATTCTTCTTCTTCTTCTTAGCCTTCTATCGTCCATGTTTGGACATAGGCCTCTCCCAACTCCTTCCATCGGTCTCTATCCTGAGCAACATATTTCCAATTTGTTCCGGCTATTCTTTTAATGTCATCAACCCATCTCATCTGTGGCGTTCCATTTAAATCAATACAACCAGTTATATAATATTCTACACAACTTCAATATCTGCAGAAGTATTTGTAAATGTTCTTTGACTGAATACAAGAGTTACAATTGAACTTTATTCGTGAAGAAAATCCAAACAACATTTGGAGCTCAGCGGTACAAAATATTAAATCTCTCTCCTGACGCACTGAAAAAGGACTACCTAAGCTCTGACGTCACAGTGGTAAGGGTTTTAAAAATCATGTTTAATTTGTGTGTATTCATCCCATAAGAAGTTGGAAAGATTGGTTTTTTAATTGTTTGAAGAACAAATAAGGACTTTTTGTTATGATCATTTGTTCTCTGCGATTGGTATTATTTGTAGTTAGTGAATTTGTGAGGTAAGAATATCAAAATATTAAGATATTTATTATGAATGTTCCTATTTTAAAGTTATGTCATTGTTTGTTTAAAACTTTAATTATTTTTTTCTGTATTTCAAAGTATTTTGTTGATGATAAACTGCGTTAGGCTTTCACGGCCATCGTCTAACTTATTGAACTGTTTGTTCGGGCTGTTAGGCCGTTGTCTTGTGAGATTAGTTCTCGACGTTTCGCCAACATTAGGGGTTGGCATCTTCTGGAGATGTTAATGCTTCGCTTGTAAGCAGAAAGTGACGCGGCGTTGTACTACGGAGACAATATTTATATTTCCCAGTCGCCTCCCCTCCACTGGTTTCGGCTTGAGGGGGCGTGTTGTTGTTTGTAGTAGATTTTCTTTCTTCGTGTTTGGCGGAAAGGGCGTTTGTGGATTTTAATATTGGTATCCATGTCTTGTTAATTTTCAGTCCTTCTTCTATCCGATTAGAATTATTTGGATGCTTGTATATTTCCACTGCTTCCCGATACAACCGTGGGTAGTACTGTGAAATTTTGTACAGCATCTGTGTTTCTTCAAATAGTATCCGATGTTCTCCGCTTCCCAAAGCGTGTTCGGCAAATCTGCCGTTGACATTCAAAAAACATTTTTTTTAACACTCATTACGCAATTTGATAGAACGGCTTCCACAGGATCTTATATTATAACCTAAAATACGAGAAAACGAATATCTTTAGTCTTTTACAGGATAACATCATGACAGCGAAAAAAGAATAAATAATTAATTGAAATATTTTTCAACTTCGTAAATAAATTCAATGATTTATTGATATATTTTGAAATAACTTTGGTAAAAACAACAACAAAATACCTTGAACTAAATTAAAAAATAATTTTTATTAATAAGTTTTAATCAAACAATGACATAACCATAAAATATGAATATTCATAGTAAATATTGTAATACTTACCTTACAAATTCACGAACAACAAATACTACCAATCGCACAGAACGTTCATAACCAAAAGTGCTTATTTATTCTTCAAACGATTAAAAAAAACCAATATTTACTACTTCTTATGGGACAAATAGACACAAATTAGAAATGTTTGAAAAGGTTCTTAAACCCCCCTCTCCTCATTGTGTCGTCAGACTTAGGTAGTCCGATATTACCGATTCAATCCAACCGACGCGTAATAGCGGCTTCTCACGGTCGGCGATATTGCGGACGTAAGCCGACCAGCCCGCACCACACACCATGGGAAAGGTCTCGTCCGTGGTAGTACAGGCACGTCTGTGCTGGTCCGTCCTATCCATCTAGAGTCAGTAACATCAAAGGTGCGGTACATGCTCGTGCGACGCGATCCTAGCGCGTCTGTGTTTTAACAGACGACAAGTGCAAGTCAGAAGTTTTTTAATCTCTGACACGAGTAGTTGTTTGTAGTGTTGTCAAAGTTGTTTTGCAGTTTTTTTGCTAAAAAATCGAATGAACAAACAAAGTTATTTTTGATTTGTTAAATTTGTATCAAAATGAACCAAGTTTATGGAATTCCACGGCGCCAGAGCATAAGAACCGGAACGATGCATACGATATATGGAACCGAATAAAAAATCAATTGAAAAATAGTACTATTTCGATTAAAGAACTAACAAAGAAGAGAGATAATTTAATGCCGACATACAGAAGGCAATGATGTTTACAAGCCTGACTGACCTTTTTATGATATAATCAAACATTACTGTCACGTACCTACACAGACTGTCACGGACCGTAGGAAGAGCTCTGTCTGCGGTGCGTTGTCGTCCGTGCTGATCGGCTATCCGCGATGATCTGTAGAATCGCCGATCGTCGGAAGCCACTTTAAGAACCCATGGTGCATACGACTAATACAAATACCTATTTAAGAAGCACCCGCAATATGAAAAATTCAGCTCTGATCGTTATTACATCGTCTGTGATAATGGCTTCGGAAGTTTCAGACGAAATCTCATAAAGAGATAATTCTAGGAACCCGGAAACAATTTATTATTATTATCGCAAAATATTAGTAAATGCCACATAATCTTTTCTCCTATCATTAGTTATATTTATAGATTAATTCCAGGACATCAAGTATAAACTTTTTAAAATTAATTTATTTCCGATTATTATAAAGTCTAAGGTTTGTTATTTATTATTTAAGAAACCCGATCACCAAATTTAAACCGGTTTTTTTTTTGTTAAATTATGTATGTATTTCCGCACCTCCCTCGTAATATTATAGAGCTTGGGAGGTCGGTGGCAGTGAAATTGTATACATTCGTGTGTTATTCTCCTCCAGAGCCGCGGTGCGGTCCTATGACGGGGGCGGGGGGCGAGCCGCTGCCGATGCAGTCGACGATCTCTCCTGCAATGACGGAGTCCGACCTGCCTCAGCCTCTGGTGGTAAGGAGCCCTTCGGTATCCCTGATGAAGTGGCCCAGTCAATCGCCGACGAAAACAACACCCACGCGACAGGTGAGTCAAAATTTTTAATTAGATTTAAAAATTAATTTAGTATAGATATAGAGCATGACATTTTATATTGAAGTAACCTCTATATAGAAGGTTTATGCAAATATATATTTTCATGTTCAGCTTTTACTTAGGAATGAAATATAAGTAGTGATCAATGATTTTCTTCCTCATCATTTGTTACCGTGTGATATAAATTACTGTATCTTTAAGTTTTGCTGATTAGTAAGTTTGTGTTCAAGTACCACTTATACCAATCTATTGCTAACCATTCATTTTATATAGTCGTCAATGTCTTTTCCTTCTTTGACTTATATTTCCCTATATTTGTAATTTTTTCGTTGATTTCTTTATCCTCTCAAGGTGCTTATATCAAATATCTTATTCATAGATCTTGATATGATTTTGGTTCTGCTTTTTTTTCAGGTCCGGTTTCTATATCAGACACAAGTCTAGACTTTACATTTAGTTTTTATACTATCATCATCATTCTGGCCTTATAACTCTGCGTGGGCCCTAGCCTCCTCAAGAATTTCTTTTTAGTTGTCCCTATCCATGGCCTTTCTCCGCTAAGCACATATTTCCATGCTTCTCATGTCTTTATCGATGTTACCAAGGAACCTTGTTTTGGGTCTTCCTTTTCTTCTCTGACCAATGGGTCTATAAGGAGCGTTTTTCTAGCTGGGTCATCTTGTTCCATCCGCATTACATGCCCTATCCACCTCAGACGTCTTATCTTAATATGTTTTACGATATCAGGTTCCTGGTATATTCTATAAAGTTCGAAGTTATATCGTCTTTTCCACACTCTATTGTCATTCACTGCTCCATAGATTCGCCTTAGTACTTCTCTTTCGAAACATCTTAACATGTTTTCATTATTTTTTGTTATAGTTCAGGTCTTTGAACCATATGTTAGGACTGGGCGTATTATTATTTTGTCAAGTTTTATTTTTGTATTCCTCGATATAATTGTGAATTTAAGAAGGAGATTGAGCCCAAAATAGCATTTGTTAGCCCTTCAAATTTTGCGGTTTATGTCTGCGGTAGTATTATTTTCAGTGTTAAGAAGGTCATATACAAATTCGGTCATTGCTTCGATGACATCGTTTTCTATAACAAATGGTCGTAAGATTTGTGGTTACCTGCTTATTTTCATATACTTCGTTTTTTTGGTGTTTATTTTTAAAAACATCTTTGTAACTTATTCTTTTAATGCTACATACGCCTCTCGTACAGCGTTTTTTCCGTTTTCACAATATTGATATCATCAGCATAGGCCAGGATTTGCACTGATTTATTATATATTGAACCATTATTGTGATATATTGAACAGTGGTTGTAATTTGTGACATATGTATTACTTTTTCTAGAGCCAGATTAAATAGTATACAGGAGTAATGTTTTCACTGGCGCAACCCGTTATTTGTTTTAAAACGTTCAGACAGTTCCTCCTGAATTCGTACTCTACATTCAAGTTTTTCAAGAGTTAGTTTTGTTATATTTACCAACTGATTTGATATTCTTAGTTCTTTTATTGTTTTAAACATTTCTCTTATATTCACAGAGTCGTAATCTCTAAATATGTGATGAGTATCAATGCTATATTCCAGTGTTTTTTCCAACATTTGTTTCAGGGATGAAATCTGATGAATTGTGGAATTGTGTATTTACCACCTCTGAAACCAGCCTGGTATTTTCCTACTATCCGTTCTACATATGGTGCCATAGGGTGACATACTACTGTGGAAAATATTTTATACGTTGCATTTAGAAGCGTAATTCCTCTGTAAGTAGAGCATTCTAAGATATCTCCTTTTTTGTGTATGATGCAAATTATTCTGTAAATTATTCCAATATTCCAATCATTGGGAGGGGTTTCTGTGTCCATATTTCTTTTATAAGCTGCTGTAATGCCATTATGGTATCGTGGCCACCTTCTTTATATAGTTTAGCTGGGAGATTATCTTTCCAGGTGATCTGTTTCTGGCTAGTTTTTTATCTGCATCTTTAACTTCAAGAATCGTTGGTGATTCCTGTTTCATCTGGTCTATTCCCGTTACCTCATCTCTTTCGTCTTCCAGGCTTTCTTCTTCCTCCTCTATATTAAGTGCGTGGTGAAAGTATTTCACCCATCTATTCAATACATCTTTACTTTTTGTTAATATAGGTCGCCATTCTGACTTCTGAATTGTTTTGTGGCTGCCTTGAATTCTTTTCTGTTAACGTTTCTATTCTGTTTTTAAACTATTAGATATCATTTTTCAGCTTCGATTTTTGGCCATTTTACAAACCAAATCCTCTGGTTAACCCTTTCCTCTATTTAGAATATGGCACCTGTTTAATCCGAATTGCATACTAATATTATTCTAGAAAGTTCCTAAAATTTTTATCTGACATAAGAGGTTTAGGGTAGTAGCCATTAATTTAACATCTTCCATATACAACATATGATTAAACTTTGTCACTACAGTTTTATAATTGTTAATAATCAGTAGCTGGAACATAGCGTTCATCGCTGGACAGAACCACAGTAGAATCTACAAGTTACCTTAAAAAAGGCGTCGTTTGATTTGAATTTCTCACCTATATCCATAGATACCGCTAGGTTTAAGTTTACCTAATCTATAGATACAGCGTAATATTGTTCTTTCTCCTGTTGTTTCTTTCTTATTATCCAGATTTGAGCCACATGGCTCTCCTTGCTTCTAAGTGAAAAATTCGCTCATTCAAGCTACTTACGGTAACAACAGGGGAAGCTCTAGGAGAATTTTTTTGTGTTAATAAAGCCATTGGGCTCAAGTTTGTCCAAAATCCTCAAAAATATACATATGTATGTATAAAATGTTACTAAAAAACGTTGTTATTAAAAAACCTAAAAACGGGCTGATTTTTTAGCTTATAAACATTTATAATAACTTTGATATTTTTTATGTCATGCCCTTGTAAGAAGGCTTGGTGAAAAAAACACAATCTTTCAAAAAAAAAGAACCGTCTATGACCAATAGCAACCAAGATGTCTTTTTTTATAAAATGCATATTTCCATTGTTTACTAAAAATCAGAAAATCCCGGAAATATCAATTAATTAAACTTTTCCCTAAAAACTTGCATTTTACTCTGTTTTAGTAAAAAATATTTAAATCATATTGATTAATGTATATTATTTATATAAATTTGACATAATAATTATTAATTCCGCTTGTAAAGTACAAAAAAATAGTTTTAAAATTTATTTTAAAACCATTTATTCAGGGAGTGTAAAAACTTCTTACAAAGTAAGTCGTTTTGTATTTTATTTAATAAACACATTTGGAGTATTTATTTTTAATTAATATTATATATTTACGTAAATAACTAGCTTTGGTTATTGGTAATAACTTGGTTATTACCACTAACTAAGTTATAATAAGTAAATATCATGAAATCATTGATGACATCCCCGGTATATCGAGAGAACTAAAAATTTTTTTTGGATAATTTACGGCTTTATCTTTATTACCAATACTGTCGATTGATTTAAAAGATACGATTGCAAAAATGATTTATAAGTTTGATGTATTGCGTATTTGGATGCAGTTTTATTTAACCAATATTAAGCAAATGTTTAGAAAATTTTTGCGCCGATAGATCATTTTGCACTTGAACTCTTATATTATTGGTCAATCGCAATGTTTCGACATTTCAGCATGAAAACAATTTTGTTATACATGCACTAATCTCATCCGCATATGTAAATATATGAATAACCAGTAATATCTACCTGCCTGTAAACTAACAATTATTCAATACCAACACGTGCAAAATAAAACTGTGTAAAAAAATAAATTAAAGGTTTCATGTTTATATTTTGAAATTGTATAATAATGTAAAATATAAGATCACAAAACAGTGTTGCTCGATTCTCGATGCTGAAATTCAATGACATTCATTTACAATCAATACTTTGAATTTGAGATTTGTTAATATTTAATAATATTGAATTTTATTCATTTCAATTCTAAAAATATTTCGTTTATGAGGAATTCTACAAAAATTCGCACCTTAACTGGAGCCAAATATGGTGATATTGCAATTTGCTGCCCGTACCCCGCAGTAACAATTTTTTTCTGTAGGTTGATACCAAAAAACATGTTTTCAGGTGCGAGCTTAACAAAAAAGGCAACTTTAAGTTTTTTCCAACAAAAAACTGATTTGTTCGCTAAAGCTATTTCATTCTTCTAGCGATCTGCCTCGAAAAACGAGTGAAAGAGATTTCTACACTTGAAGCACACGTACATATCAGGTACCAATCGCTTTGTCTTGGTCTCCAGAAGGAACTCTGACCATTTGAAGAGCCAAGAAACACCTGCTCAAAGCGTGGCAAACGGTTATTCAGTCCCTAAAATCGACGTTTTTTTCATTTTTTCGCAAATATTATTTATCATTTATCCGAAAATAAATTACTATTAAACTGGGAATAAGCCACAATTAAAGATAAAAATACGTTTATTGACGTTTCAATTTCCACTTCGGAAATCGTTCTCAAAATACAAACAGTAAATTAAACAAAATTTGTTTAATTTAGTGGAAATTAAAACGTCAATAAACGTATTTTTATCTTTAATTGTGGCTTATTCCCAGTTTAATAGTAAGTAATTTACAATGCCACAAGAAAATAGCTTCAGAACAATATTATCCGAAAATAGATTAAAAGATACCTCTATAGTTGAAGCACACATACATATTAGGTACCAATCGCTTTGTCTTGGTCCCCAGAAGAAACTCTGACCCTTTGAAGAGCCAAGAAACACCTGCTCAAAGCGCGGTAAGCGGTTATTCAGTCACTAAAATCGAGGTTTTTTCATTTTTTCGCGATTTTATTTAAAAATAGATTAAAAGAGACCTGTATAGTTGGAGCCCACGTACATATAAGATACCAATCGCTTCGTCTTGGTCTCCAGAAGATATTCTGACCCTTTGAAGAGCCAAGAAATACCTGCTCAAAGCGTGGCAAACGGTTAT